TTCAGGAACATGAGAATAATTCTCTGCAAAGACAGTTAGAAGTGGCAGTTAAAGAACCTCTGAAATAATGTAACATTTTCATATTCAATTGTTAAACAACTTAACATAAATAAAAACATATTCATCTGTTTGATTATTTTTTTTAATTTCACACTGAGATTCTCACGATCTTAAAGGACCACTCTAGGCACCCAGACCACTTCAGCTTAATGAAGTGGTCTGGGTGCCAGGTCCTTCTAAGGTTAACCCATTTTTTCATAATTATAGCAGTTTCAGAGAAACTGCTATGTTTATGAATGGGTTAAGCCTTCCCCTTAATCCTCTAGTGGCTGTCTCATTGACAGCCACTAGAGGCGCTTGCGTGCTTCTCACTGTGATTTTCACAGTGAGAGCACGCAAGCGTCCATAGGAAAGCATTGTAAATGCTTTCCTATGCGACGGGCTGAATGCGCGCAGCTCTTGCCACGCGTGCATTCAGCCCATCGGGAGGCGGAGAGGGAGGAGGAGAGCTCTCCGCCCAGCGCTGGAAAAAGGTAAGTTTAAACCCCTTTCCCCCTTCCAGAGCCGGGCGGGAGGCGGTCCCTGAGGGTGGGGGCACCCTCAGGGCACTATAGTGCCAGGAAAACGAGTATGTTTTCCTGGCACTATAGTGGTCCTTTAAGATGAATAAACAGGTTAACAGGGTCTCAGGACAAATAAACAGATTCTCAGGATAAAGGGGCAGATTTTTTCAGAGTTACTGCTCAAATTCATAGAATGAATAGGAAGATTCTAGAGGTGCCTTGGCAGTTTCTCAGGGTGAATAGGCAGACTCTCATTGTGAATTCAAAGATGCTTTACTCATGGTCTCAGATGGAATAATTAAATTTTCAGACTATCAGAGCAAATGAGCAGATCCTCACAATTGACAGAGTATCTCACACTCTAAAGTCATATGGACACATCCCCCGAGTGAGTGGGCAGATACTTGGGGTCAACATATATGTATAATTGCCATATAACATAAACATATAATTGCCAGTGTTTTCAGGTATAATGAGCAGATTGAGTTCAGAAGACATTTTATCTAAATTTCTATTTTATTTGAGTCATTACAGATTATTTGCTTGCAGACATATACAGTCTGATCTCTTCTATTTAACACTAAAATTCAGAATCTCTAAATTTAATGTTGGTTTCTTTTAAAATTTCAATTTCTGTTTTTTAGTATTCAGCGGCATTAGTCAAACAATAATTTTCCCTGAATTGTACTGTACTTCTTGAATTGGGTTTTGCATTAATTTAATTATGCAATAATGTGTGATATGATGTGTTTTATCCTCTAGAGCCTAAATTTTGATACATGCTCATTTCACAGTCCAGTGGATAATCTCCAGAACATTCCCATAATGTATTGAAACATTAAATCTTTTTGTGCTTGTTAATTTGTTATCATAAACAAAAGATGGTGACAAAACTCTAGAGATTGGAGGTTTCTGGTTGTTTCCATTGGTTACAGCAATTTACTTAAATGCAATATTAGCTGTCAGCTGATGAACAGTTTCAGTGTTAGTACATGTGTGTATATATGTAATAGCTAAAACAGGTTAAACAGATCACAATTCTAAAAAACTGTCAGGATCATTATCACTGTTCACTCACCCTAAGTGCAAATAATCAAGTAGTTGATGGTTTTCTCCTCCTCTGAAATGATACAAGACATACAATGTTCATGTTTCCAGTTTGTACAAGGACATGGTGAGTCCGGGTCACACTTTCTATCCAGTGTTTATAATTGGTATTTTCAAAGTCCTGCTATGGCCTGCCCATGATCATGTACATGTTCACATATTTGGTAAAGGGTCACGCAAAAACTGTCTATCTGTATTGGCATGTTGTTGTTCGGGGGTCATTCACAACCAGCATGCTTGCAAACAGTCTGTACACAATTTATATATATTCTCTGACAGAGGCATAGTCATACAGTTTCTCTTGGGTCATAGTCATATTACCTGTCCAGGTATCACACACAGCCTCTCTTGAGTCATATTTATACAGTCTGTCCAGCGATCACATACATCTTCTCCTGGGTGACAATAATATAACCCGACAAGCTATCACACACAATCTCTCCTCAGTCCTACCACACAGTCTGTCCATGGATTGCATACAGCCTCTCCTAGGTCAATGTCATATAACCTGTCCAGCCCAGGGCATACATGATGTCTCCAAGATCAGTATATGGTTTATAGGTCACCACCCATCTAAAAACAAATATGGCTGATCAAGTGCCACACAGAGTCTAAATTAGGTTTAAACATGGACTGCATGAGTTTACATAAAGTCTTTTTGGGGTTCCTATCCTATAACCATAAACAACATTTATTGAATCAGATTTCCTGTCTGTCCAGAATAACACACAGTCTTTTCTGTAAATCGCTCAGTGCCCATGTCTAGTAGCAAGAATTATTTGTAAATATACAAAGTGATACTGGGACTCAGAGAGAGCATTTCTGTATTGTTGAGTTACCTGGTATATAATAGTCATAAATCCTTAAAATGGCAGGTTTTAGGTCAGTCACTTGGACCTTTCGCTCAGCAACAAATTTCAGAACCTGAGGCTGTGAAGTCACCTGAAAGAAAAATGCCAGATAAGAAATACAGTATTTCAAGACATTATTCCAACATTAACATTATATGGAACAATGTTTATTAAGGGATATTATGAGACGTGGAGCAGAGAGTGGTAAACATTGAGCAATAACCATTCCTTTGCTTCCCACGGCAGTCATTCTAAATTTAGCACCGAAATTGCTCCTCTACTGTATTGACAAATAAAACAAATATATGGTAAAAATATTTTTTGTTTATCAAAATCAATGTCAACATATAACATATTGTTTATACCAGGTAAAAAAAATCTATAACTTCTAAATAATAGATTGTATTGATTTAAAAAAAAATATTTGCACAAAAGTGTAAACTTTAACTTATATTGATTACATGTATCTACATAATGTCTTGAGATATAATGTCATGAGGAGGCGCTCTTACCTCTTCAATGTAGATAATTGCACTGTCATCGTTAGTCTCCACTCTTTTCACTGCTGAATTTTTTTTTAACTGGCAATTAAGAGAAGGAGGTTAATGACAAACCGCATACTGCTTCCATGAATCACAAGACTCCATGTAATGCTCTTTCAGCAGTATAGTTTCCTGGTGTGCTTTGGAATAGACAATACCCTTACAAATACAGAACCCTATGAGAGACCCCATCAATATTAGTAGACCATAGTGTGGGCCCCTATCAGTATACTAGGACTGTTAAGGTGTTTTGGTATAGGTTACATCCTTACCAATTGTAGACCTGTAGGAGTGGTTATCCTTGACATTGCTTAGTAACTGTTACATACTTTTTCTATGGATTCCTTTTGGGGAACATATCCTGAAATCATCTTCACGTCCACAAGGGCCATGTTAGTAGAAGGACGCTCTCCTTGGTACCTGCAGTGAAAATGTAAGGATAGTTTTATCCTTGATATGCAATGGTATATAATATGGTATATTCTCTCTCTCTCCTTCTCTCTCTTATTCTCCCATTCTCTTCACAGCTGGTCTACTCTTGTTGTTCCTACATTTTCTTTGCCTGGAGTCTCTGTTTGTACAACTCTCCTAAAACAATAATTCTTACCAAAACTCCACTGCAATCTCCAATAAGTCTTTCTTGGTGCACTGGGTCACAACCGACAGATTAAAGGTGGTTTCTCTTTCTGGTGGGGGTATATGGTATCTCTTAGTTACCTGCCACGTATTGATTAAAAGTAGAGAAATAGATAAATGAACAGATATTAATAAGTCAGCTGGAGTGAGAACAGCATTACATGTAACAATGCAGGTTTTATAGCAGCTTCCACTTACCTGTACATAAACACTCCCCATGCCTGTGGCGGAAATGGTATATTCTCCAGGGATGTGTGGTAAGGAAGTCCTTTGCAGGAGGAGACGATTGCTGTCATCTACATGGAGCTCATGCTGGAAGCCATTCGGTGAGCTAACCGTTACTGTGACATTCCCAGCTTTGGAGAAAGTCAGTGATCCAAACTTAGCCAGAGCTTGGAGTGCGACCACCGTGTCCTGGAAAGAACAAGGATCGTGAGATACTCTTCTCATCTCCATCAATCACAAGACTCAATTACTTTTACCACTTTGTCTTGCTGAGCAATATATCAGTAGCATGTCTTGCTGAGCAGGTGATAATGGCATATACTGAGCACACAGTGAAAATAATGGTAGCGTTGACTTTATCACTTCTTACTTTGTAAGGGTTCACAGCAGAAGCTACAACAAACCTTAGAACTGCACTTCATATACAGATCAAATACTTGCCTGGTGCTTGTCTGCAGTAATGCAGAATCCACAATTGAGATAGCACTGCCCAAGAACTTGCATCAAACAGTTAAAATTTAATGTATATTGCTTTATAAAAAAACAAATCAACATAAGCAATAAGTTACATTTTAACAATCTTGCGAGTGCAATTTTAATTCTGGACTTTATCTATCTATTTATCTATCTATCTATATTCTGGATTTATCTATTTATATCCAGTCAAAGACAGATAATTTACCTTCTCTTTGCTTTCACATTCTGTCTTGTCTTTGTCCATTTTGCTTATGTTCCATACCCTGAATTTAGGATCCCAACCATTCCTGGCATGACCAAATAAATGACTGGACTTTTATTCTACTTACTTTACTGATATTCAATATTAATAAAGTACAATAATGCATAGTCACATACAAACAACATCAAGACTCCTAAAAAAAACCTAAGTGGTGTTTGTCTCGTGTCTTATTTTCATACCTCCTTTTTACCACCCCCTTATTTTTAGAATGGGAAGTTTAGCAAATTAATGGATTTA